TATATTTTACACACTTACTTCATAATCTTATTACATTTAGTATTATTTTTTATGTATATACAGATTACCTGAATCGTGTAAGTTATTGGTTAAAATAGTCAATATATTGCTGATTATTCGTTGCAAGTATATTGTTTTTGTACATAATTTATTTAATTTCTGTGTAATTGCAGTTAATGTATTATAGTTCATTTTTTTCTTCATTATTTTCATTGTTTTTTAATAGTTAAGTGATTCATCGATTTCATATTTCTATGATATCAATATGAAAGTTAATTTTATAAAATAATAAAGAATTTTTCACAAATATTTAATTTATTTATATTATAATTTTTTTACATTAAAAATCAATCATCTTCAAATAATGAATAAATTATAGAAACATAATGCCAAATGCAAAATCAAATAAAAATACTACATTCTTAAAACTGTTATAAAAATATACATAATTAATAATATACAAAATAAAGATTAAAAAATTGCAAATTTCTTTAAAAAATCGCATTTTTGAGAAATAGATATCTTGAATATAAATGTATTTTCTATGTTCTTTTATTTTTCATTAAAAATCAATTAGTCCGTAATTACTGCATTATTATAATTAACGTCATATTTCAATAATTGTTTGCAGAAATAATAAAGAAAGAAAAATTATTTTAAAAATTTATGTTTCGTACTCAAGATAGGTTTCACACAAAAAAATAGTGGTACTTTTGACCAGTTTTTCTACTTTTTTTTTTAATTTTATTAAATTCCATTTTTATTATTTTGTATTTTTTTTACATAAATTGAATGTATTAAATTATCCTTTCTACCTGTCACATGCGTTACTCCATTGTGTAGTATGGTAACTCTTGACTTTATTGTATTACTTCTGTATAAACAATTCTTAAAGATGAATTAAATTGTAAGCAAAAAAATAATAGTTTTTACATTTATTGCATGTAATGTTTATGTATATGTTTATGTAAAAATGCGATCAGTGCGTATTTATCAAAACGCTTGACTGTTTGTTTGTCTTTTATTTATTAAAGTGTAAATAGATTCTATAAAATTTTTTTTTAGTATATTTAATTTTATTTTCTTTTAAATTAAAAAATCATTTTTTCTGTTGATATTTTAAGGACAAAATAAACATGGAAGTACTCGGTAATATACTTTTACATTGTGATATATATAATTTAAATTGTATTTTCTGGTTGGTTACTTATTTAATCGAAGAATATAGAATAATGATTAACTAAAAATATTTATTATCCATTTTTAGCTTTTATATTTTTACATAGGATATTAACTTAATATTTCGAAAGTATGAAAAAATAACTTATTGATTTCAATACTTCGTTTTCTTACACTGTTGTCAATGCAATTAAATTTAGTTAACATTTATATTATAATAAATTAATCCATAAATTGAATGTTTTTAAATACATTTAATAAATTAAGTTCTGCCACTAAATAAGTTTAAAACTAGATATAACGTATTTTATATAATTTTCATAGTAAAAGTATATTTTACAATAATGTAAAATAATAATAGTGTACATTCGTTTTTAAATATTATGTTTTTAAAAATTACACCAGATACACATATAAAATACCGAAAACCTACTATATGATGAAAATACGAAGTAACAAATAATAATAGTATATATTCTTTAATGGTAATAATTTAATTAATTAATAATTTTAACGTTAATTTAAATATTATAAGTAACTCTTAGAAAGTGAATAATACTAAATAAAATTTCAGAATTTAAGATAAAATAATATGTAAAATGTAGAAATATCAATAAACTTATTCACTTTTTCTATTTTTTTTCATTATTATGTTTATTCTCATGCGCATTCTTTATCACTTTTTATCATTATCTCTTAATTTTTTTAGCCTAAAAAAGTAGAATCGATAGACAAATTTCATCACGGTTACTATACATGATATACAAATACAAATTATATATATGTAATTTTATTAATGAAAGTAAATTATTAATGAAATTTTCAATCTTTTACCTTTTCTTTTTTATTCAATGAATATCTCTAAGATATTAGTATTTTACTAGAGGTTCAATCGCCATCCTTTTATTTTTTCATACTTTATAAATAATATGATGTGAGTTAATGATTGAGTATAATAACCTCTTTTTTATAAATTTCACAATTAATAAATTCAGAAAATGTTCGTGAATGGATAAATATTACATAATTAACAATTGTCAATTTTTCATTTTAATTGTTAAAGGAGCACTGAATAAAATTATAATCGGTGCTTCACTCTTTGCCTAAAAGCCATCACACATCAGTATTTCAAAAATTGGTATAAAATGGCTTTTAGATTCGCAATATAAATAGTTTCATAAATTGTGAAATATTCAATTCATCAGAATTATATTTATATAGATTAAATTTAAATTTTGTAGTAGGCAGTAGTAACTGATAATCATATTATTTATCTTAATTATATATTAGAGTAAACTTTATAAAAATAAAGAATTAGTAAATCTACTGTCTTCTTTGGTTTTTATTTGATATAATTGCTTAATAACAATAAAATGAAACAAAACTTTATCCTTATATCGAATATTATTAGTTGAAAATAGGTACTTCAATTTAATATTTTTATCCATCAAATAACTGTTAAAAAATCCATTAACAGGAAATGTACTATAATATTTAATTCAAAATATCCATGTAAATTATATTTTAAGTTTTACTGTATTAGGAAATAAATTCTTAAATTATTTTGGTTTTAAGCATTATATAAAATCATTGTAACCAATTAATGATAAGACTCAAAATTAAATAACATGTACACGCACCACCTATAAATAATTACTTAATGGCATAAAGAAATTTATTTCAAATTTATCTTTCAAGTATAATATATTGGTTTTTTACATTTTTATGCTTATCATACGTGATCTTTTTAATAAAATTTTGAATTACTTACAAATAATTCCTCATTCAAATAGTTTTTTAAATCGATCAAAATATTTTACGTTATAACTCGATTATTTATTAAGATAAAAGAAGATTTTTTTTACATTTTGATCTTTACAAATATTACAAAATAACTTATAAACATACGTAAAAAATAAAAAATACGTAAATGAACAAATATTTATCAAATCTATAAATTTTTTTTATCATTTTATCTATTATCAAATATAATTCATTGTACTAATGGAAATTAGTATTTCTAATTATTTTTAATGATATAAATATAACATTTTTAATTAATCTAAGGTTAATTAATAAATCTAATCTTCAAAGAAAGTAATGTACCATAAATTAAGTGATCCTAAATGAAAATGAGAAAGATAGAGAAATCACTCGATTATTTTGATTAACTGTGTCGAAAATGAAAATTTTTTTAATTCATTCTTATAATCTTTTTTCAAATTTTGATCTTATATACTGATTTTGAAATTATTTATTCAAACAAATAGCAGTCTTTCGTTAGTTGCTTAGCATGAAGGGACTATATATGAATTTTAAAAAATCATACTTTTACTCTTATAAATAAAAATAAATCTTATATTAAATTAAGTAAAAAATAAATTTATTTATAGATTTAACATGCTGAAATGCAGTATATACATACTTTTTACGAGTTACTTATGATTCTCTGTTCAAGAAAGCAATATAGCTTATTGACACGCACGCACACTCGCGCGCGCGCACACACACGCGTACGCACGCATATATATATATATATATATATATATATAGAAATATAGACAAAACTTCTTACATTGAGCCGAAGAGGAAAGTTTCAAGCCATTCGCTTATTACTGCCAGCTAACTGAATCATTAGTGCAAGTATATTGATGCAGAGCTTAGAAAATATATATTTTACTTTATTTTCTATTTTTTTAATAGTCGTTGTGCGATTCAAATTTATTTAGAATTGCATAGTATATACAATAAATAAATATTTTATAATAAATAAATAAATTTTTTATATGAATTATGCATTTGGTAAAATCATAAGGGAAATTATCAAATAATATTGCATAAATAAGGTTGTAATAATATCCATACAAAATAATTTACAGCCTTAATGTACATAATAAATTTATATATATATATATATGTATGTATGTATATATATACGTATGTATTTATTACGTACATCAATTGTACTTATATTTGACTTCTTTATAAATAAAAGAAAATCAAATAACTGAATTATATAGTATTATTTAAATTTTACATAATAATCAACTTTATATGAAAATAAGTTATTTTGTGTAATTAATAACGAATTTACATTCAAATAATATATCATGTGAAAATATATTACAAATTCTAATAAAATATCTAAAGGATACATTTGTTTTTATCTATAAATCAAAATAATTCATAGTCCGAATATTATGCAAAAGTATAGAAAGATCATAAGATAACTTCGTTGATAAAACTATAGAATTACACAACGACTCACGAAAACACGTCACCTTAAATTCTGCTCTGTACCATGCTAATATAAAAATTAAAGTTCTTTACAATTCGGTGACGGCATAGAGATTCGGGTCACTGCCCTGCATCTGATTAAGTGTAGAAACTTGCTGCTGCTGTTGTTGTTGATGTTTATCATGCCATCTGTTATAGGTGCCATACATATTAGGCACGGTGCCAGAATTATTAGCAACAACATGATTAGCAACATCATAGCCGTTGCTGTGGGTCCGCGAGAAATTTCGGTCAAGAGTGCGCACCTGATCTTGCATTGATTGTTGATTCAGATGCTGCTGGTCATGGATACGTAGGCTAGGCGCCTTGTTGCGTACGAGCGAACGAAATTGATTCATATTAGCCTGCGAACGTGACTCAATCTCCCAGCTGTTGTTTAAGTTGTTTGCGTTTAGTAAGGGCAAAGGACGACAACCACTCTGATTCCATGTAGATGTCGGTCCCCGCTTCAAATTAGCCAAATTCTTTGGATCAAGAGTCTGAGTTTTACGCAAGTCTTGAAAAGTCGCCAGGTGCTGAGATCCTCCAATGTTACTATGCGAATTATGTGATAACATGCTACCGGTGAAGGAAGCTACACTTGGCGTCCATGGTGGTTCTCTTCCTGTAAAATTAATAATGGTAATATTCTTTAGTATTACTAATAATTATTTACCTAGAAAAAAGCAATTGTCTCAAGTTTCTTTCAATTCAATACATTCTGTGAAAATATCAACAATATTTGATATATAAGAATTTACAAATATAATTACTTATTGCATACTTAATAGTAATATTACTGATTTTAATATAAAATATTTTAAAGTATACTTATGATATACTAATACAGTTTATAATCAACAGCATTTCAAATAGAAAGTATTAAACAAAAAATCCCTATAAATTTTGGAACAATTTAATGTGACGATTTTCTTACAACATAGAACAAATAAATTTATTTTTAATTTATTTTTTATATAGAATGTGTTTATTCACGGTTTTTACGACAATTCATATATTTATTTATAAATAACTAAATATCGGCAGAATTTTTTTTAATTGTATCAACAATTTTTCAATGCAGTCTACTCTACTAATTTAAAATAAATAGTTATTAATAATCAAACTACTGAGTTTAAATAATGGGCATTGATTTTTGCAAAATAATGAAAAAGTTGTAAAAACTTTTTGATGTTACCCGGTCCCGAGGGGGCGTGCCCTCAGTAAAAATCACTGGATTCTAAAGTTTTGCATTGTTTGCTCAAAGTCGCGTACTGGCCAGGCTGATCCCCGAGCCCGGCACGATGTTCAGCTCGTCCGCTTGTTTGCTGATTGTGCTGACTTGACTTGTGATCCCCGGTTCCACTCCCATTAATGCCCCCACCTCTGTTGAAGACAAGTACAAATTTTATATAATTAACAATGAGACTAAGGAACATTTTACTTTATTATATATTTAATTTTTATATGTATTTATTTGATATATTAATTGTAATCAACTTAGTGGTCGACATTAATTAACGTTAATATTCATAAGACATTTAATAGGGAATATTACATAGTAAATCTATTCAATCATATATTTACATTTATAAGAAGGGATAATATTTATAAAGGGTATGTATCAAAATTACAGCTCATATACATTTATCATCAGTTCTAAAATACTCTTTAAAATGGATTCTATTGTAATAATCTTTTAAATTCGGTTATACAGTATATAATTAGAAATATAATTCATGTTTTCGTGGATAATACTAATTATGATACTATAAACAATACAATTCGGTTATTTTATTCTTTTTTTATTTTTTTTTTTATTTTATTTATTTTATTTTATTTATTTTATTATTTACATAGAGTAAGTAAAGCAGAAGTACATAAATTGTATAATTAAATGCTTCTTCTATTCAATTAAATTTTTAGAAATTGTGTATAAAATTAAAAGAAAAAGATATTTATTTTATTTATTTATTTCATTTAAAGAATTATCTAAATTGATAAAATATATCTTAAAGAAAATTATAAAATCAGTTTATATGTATAAAAAATTTTACTTGTATATTATAAAAAGTAAATTCTTAATCAACAATTGTCGATCACTAAAGTTAATGCTATTTATTTAAATTAATATATCACTAAGCTGTATAAAATGGAAGTAATTTATAAACATTTAAAAATGTATGTTGTTAGTAAAAATGTATAAAATTTACTTAAAATCAAACACAGATTGCACTAATTTAAAAAATTCTATATTTGTAAATTATTCATAATAATATAAAACACCAAAGGTCCTAAAGACCGTTTTATAAATACGCATCATACAAAAATAAACATTTTTTTTTAAACTGTTAACATATTATTGTTTAATAATCAATCTAATTTGCAAACTTATCATAAAAAAGATATAAATGATCTTTTACAAATTGTAAGTTATTACTACTCAAACATTTAAGAGATAGAATGTACATAAAAAAGCAAACAATGATGGTAATCATAGAAAACAAGTTACATGTATTCTTAAGATTTTGCAAACTAAAATAAAATTATTTGACATTTGACATTTGACATCTAATTTTTTAAATATAAAGATGTTACAATAATAAAAAAAATATAATGAAGTATGTTAAAGTTTTAATAGCTGTAATGTAAAAAAATTCATTTATAAGTAAATTGTTTTAGTATTGCCTTTAAAAATAAATTTTAAAATATATGGCACATAATTAAATTTAAATTTATTATATTTATCATATTATATTTTGAAACAAATCATATACTTATCAGTAAATAAATTAAATAAATTATACGATTGCAATTTTAATGTTGACACAAGTAAGTGTTTCAAATCATTGAAAATGTAATATGAGTAAAATAATTTTTTTATTTTCCATAATAATATATTAATTACTAAAATTTATATATATAGCATGTAATACATGTAATTTTTCTATAATTAAATATTATGTGTTAATATATAACTTGCTTAGCTTTAAAACTGTTTTTGTTATTTACATGATATTGAAATTTTTTTATATTTAGTTTGAGATTTTCTTACATAGTAAGAAAAATGATATAACCATGAAAAGTAAACAAATTAATAAAAATATTATTGCTTTTAAAGTATTTTACGATATCAATAAATTTTCAAATAATGGATTGTAATGTTTTAATTGTAAGAATTTTGTTTATTTTAAGTTAAATTTAGTAGTAAAGCTTTAACGAAAAAGATTGCAAATTAATATATAATAATCAACCATTAATGGATCAATTTATGGTGCCTATAGTAATTAAATATATTATTGTAATTAAAGTGAGATATTTAACTAAAATTGGAAGGGTTAAAAAAACATTTATAATTATAAGCCATATTCAATCAATAATATTTTAACTATCTATTTCAACGACAATACTACATATTAATGACAAGACAGACAATTAATTATCGTTCAATGATTTAATTGTTATAGTTGTTCTCAATCAAATAATACCTATTTTGTATGAAGAATTATTATTAATAAAAGTAAACGAATCTTGCTTTTAAATACATAATTTCAATGTTCAATTGCTTAAATAATGAAAATTCAGAAATAATCTAAAATATATTTTTTATTAAATATTTTTTAATATAAAAGATACCCTTATAAAATACATTTATACAATTATACCCTTATAAAATATAATTAATTTACATATTTTTCTTTTAATTAAATGAATTATTTATATTTACTATGATTTTTTATTATAATAAAACTATTTGTTTTTTATAATAAAAATGTTATTTTCAAATAAATCTTTGTATGTAATACAGACAAAAAAAATTGATATTTTTTATTTATTATTTGAAATATTTGTTTATAGCAACTGACCATCACCCAATACGGCATTGCTGTCAAATTAGAAAGGGGTGAGTAAACATTTAATAATGAAAACTATCACTAGAACGCTAAAGAAAATGTGAATGATAAATAAAAGAAGGAAAAAGTAAAAAAAAAGATCATGCACAAACTTTGACATGCTCTCGTGCATCTGACGTGCGCGGGCTGTCGCAGTAGCGTAAGACGGCGGGGGCGGCGTTAGCAATAGAGGCTGCTTAATAGTATGGTTGCCAAGAGCATTTGGATTAAGCGGAGGGGCTGTAGGCGGGTACGACCCTTGGCCTCGAAGTGTCCGTGCTGCTATCGCTTGTGAGGCCGCTGAAGGTGGAAGATATGGATCTTGCTCATTGACCTGGTGATAATCATTTCTACGATCAAAAATAAAAAACTCAGTTACCATTTTATAAAAAATATGAGATTATCCTAAGATGGAATACAAAATTGGTATTTTAGATAATGAAAATTTTGTGTACACATATTAATAAGTAAATTTAATTATACGTTAAAGAAATTACTGGAATAAAAAGAGCCCTAGTATTAAACAAACTTACCGCTTTCTAATATATATCCATGTATGAGAATCTACCCAGACGAGAACTGTAAAAAAGAAGCCAGCAGCAATACTTGCCAGAAGCATCAGGGTGAGTCCAAACCTATATATTATTTATGGCATAAAATACATATTATAATAAATATCATGAAATAACTATTATAAATTTTCATAATCTCAATGTCAAAATCAGAAATATTTACAAACAATTATATGGTAATGTAATATGAAATAATATAAGGAGTATTTAAGTAAGAATGTTTGCTTCCCGAGTATAATTTGGAATTGAAATATTTGATCATGCAATTTTTCACGTTTGTTTTTTAAATTATGAATTAAAAAATAGACAAAAAAGAAATATTGTATCTTGATTATTTTCAATAATAAAATAAAATAAAATAAGATTAAGGCAGATACGTACAGTCCGAGGTGACACAAGCTCTTGGCGGCATGAACGTATTGTTTGTGCAGAGGTTTGCAGTCGATGAAAGAAGTGAGACTGGCGAGGCTGGCAAAATGCTTGTCGACAGTACTAATATCGTTTGTGAGGCTAGTTAGTCGCGACAGTAACTTCTCATCCTTAAATAGATAATTGGCCAATTGTTTAACCAGCTCGAGACTTCGCCTCATATGATCGGTTGCCTGCTTAGCCTCGCGCATTTGATACATGAAGGGGTTCGTCCGGCCACTTTCACAGTGCGTGTAGTAAATGAATACCTCAGCAGCAACGGTTGAAGGCGCAGTCTTACTGATATAACTGTCCGGCGACACACACAAGTCACCAAGAGCCACTGAGCTCGCAAGATATAGCGAAGCCATTAGCCAGGAGATTATAACCGCAAATAAGCCGAACACAGAAAACCTAGATCGGTAAAATATATTCGATCAATTTAAGCAGAATAATCGACGCAATATTGGTTTGTTAGTGTCACTTGTATACATAATATGTATAATTTCTTAACAGGGATACATGATACTTCTTTGACTCAATAATAGCTTTCATCGCATATTGTTAAACATTTCATGAATATTTATCACATTAATTTTTATTAAGCTATACTAACAATATTATGTATATTTTGTTAGAACATAGTGAATGTTAAAGTAATTTACTATGTAAATAAATAATTGTTAAAATAATGTATTATAATGTTTTAATTATAAGAATTTTGTTTACAGAAGGTGAAAAATCCAATATTAACTTAAAAATATTATTCAATTAAAAAGCTAATTTGAAATTGAATATACGAATTTATCTGTATATATTTTTTGCTAGCTATTTAAGTTCTTCTTTATTTATATAAGTAAATATTTTATAGGTTTTTTATAGCATTTATTTAGCGAGATACAAATATTACTAATTACGTTTTCAATCATATTTCAATTAGAAATATTTTATGATGAATTTCATTACAAGAATTTGTATTTAAAACATTCTTTTGCAATTGAAATAACTTGAGATACGTATTAGATATAAACAACCTCTTTCTAAAAATAAGGAATATTTTATAAACAGTCTATTAAAAAATATTTTTTTAAATATTTGAAAAGCAGTGTATAATTAAAATATAATTTTTTCTAAGATTGTATTTTATCGAACCGCAATGAAATCGTATACACTTACAACGTTGCTTTTACATTATACCAGTATGATTTACTTATGAGTGCGATACTGACTCGCAATTTAGATCTAATATTGTCGATATCCTATACGTAAAATAACATTCAAGTTTATAGGTTTATAAAACATCTAAATGACATTCTTAATCAATAGATAATCATTTATCATTGTATAAAAATATTAAATACAATTCTGTTTTAACTAATTAAATATTGATAATAATATATGACAGACAATATACTACAATTTGTTTATTATTGTCTATTCGATAAACAAAAATAGTATTTGATATTAAAATTAATAATAAATTATCATAAATAATCTTTCTGATTCTAAAAGCCTGTACACAATAAAGTAAATTTCTAGAACGAAAGAAAGGCATCTGTATTTTCCAGGGATAATTGTAAAGCTCACGTGATAAGGGCACATCTAGAATGTCGCGCAACGCCGACCAGTAAGACCACGCAAAGTATGAGCAGGACACTAAGTACGGACATGGTGACGGGCCATCTGAGTTGCTCGACCGTTTCTGTGAAACTGATTGCTCCAACAAGGCTGATACCACTCAACGGTTTCTTGATCTCGAAGGTACGATTCATCGCCGAGCTCATGTTCTGCTTAAAAGAATTTAGTGCTTGCACCAACGCATCCATCATCGTTTTGTTGCTCACTGGTTCGTCGAATTGGTCATTTAGGGCCATTAAATCGTTCTGCACTTTTCCCTTTAGCATCAACTCTATCGCTTCTGTCTGTCATTACAAAACAGTAACCATATTTTGTAGCATCAAATAATTTTCCATGTAATATGTGTAATTCAATTTTATTGTGTAGTTAATCTTGATTGGAAGATTAATTTTTATAATTTAAAAAATATTTTGTAACTTGATAGATACGGAAATAAGATACATTAAATGCGTGTTTAGTTTAAAATAATAAAAAGGTCCATGATAGACAAACGGTACGTATTTTGAAAAAATATATATATATATTTTTTTATATGAAAATTTAATATGAAAATTATAATATTAATATTAATTACAATTACTTTTAATTATAATTAATACTAATTCGATTTTTTTAACATGATTTTATTAACTATTAACAGGATAAATTTATTCAATTTCAATACATATTTTCAAAAGTTTTTAAATATATTTATATATATTAACATTATCAACTACTACAAAATATAAAATATAATCTTAGCTAAAGTTACATTAATAAAATCATATTTTTAAATAAAATAACTAAATAGTTTTAATATTAATATTAAATTTTTCATAAATATAATTTAATTTGTTGCCTGTATAAGATGAAATCTGTGCACACTATTTAATATTAAATAGAAAGTACATTATATACTTTAGATACTAGTACGCTAATAATCACTTGGTAGCTATGGCTTTGTTCGACTTTCTATATCTATAGTGGTTGTACATCGATTCTTTTGTATAATTCTCTTGTAATTCATAATCGTTAGATTAGAGTCATATTTGTATGTTTAGTAATAAAATTGTTCTGGGATGAAATTATGTACAAATTTATCTAATATAAGTATAATTACTTTATTTAAAAATACAAATTTTGAAAAATCTTTTCCAAAATAAGAAATGAAAATTATACATATAGTTAATGATGTATATTCTGCTAGATGTTATTATTAAGTAAAGCAGCAGTTTTGTCTATTAACAGAAATATGAATTTAAATACCAAAGCATCCATTAAATTTTAACATATAAATTATTTATTAATTTTAAGTTTTTGAAAAAAATTTTAGATTAAACTATTCATGTTCATCAAATTTTTTCTTAAAATCTTTATATTTTTCTTAAGATCTGACAACATTAATTTAATTTGAATATTATTATTTAGAGCGGAACCTAAAATATTTTAATTGAAAAAACAAACAGTAAGAGATTTGAAATAAATGTTGTTTCGAAGTTTCTTCAAAATTAATGAAAAGTATTATCTATATTTCATGCTCTTACAAAACTTATTCGTGAAATAAAGTCCGCTCCGATACAAATGCACATATATGAATCTGAGTAAATATTTTAGAACTTCTGCTTGTCTCATTATCAAAGTATCTGGATGTTTTTACCTGATTCCTAACAGACGCAACGGAGCCGTCGATATTCTTCGCAGCCGCTACAAGTTGTTCGATGCCGTTGTGCACGTCGTCATTGCCATATAGGCCTACAGCAACAGTGCCGCAACAAAGCAATGCGAGTACGGCAAGACAATACTTCAGCAAAGAGATAGAGCGTCGGTGACGGGGCTTACGGTCGCAACAGCGTGTGACTAGATATACCAGCAGCACTAGTAGAGTAAGGATCAATAGTGCTGCTGGTATACTACCCAGTATGCCGAGACTCTGCATGAAAATTCATTCATTAGTTCTAGTAATTATTAAGATTGACTTGTTAAATTAATATATATATATATATATATATAACTTTCAAAGATAATCTTCGTTTGTAAAAAAAATTGTATTTAAAATATATAGATTAATAACAAAGTATGTAAGTATAATAAAAAATAAAATACTTGTATAATATGGTTTTAATTGGCAAATGAATATAATTGTTGTGTAATATGTTGAAAATAAAAATATATAGAAAATTTTTTGGTAGTTTTGACAAATACAAAAGTGTACATGTATCCACATTTTCTTAACTGAAGTTTTTTTAAAAAGGAGAAGTAAAATGTCTGAAATATAGTAAAAAATATTCTTTCCTATTACATTTATTTATGCTCGTTATATTATTAATTTGTTTCATTGGAAAATAATAAAAACTTGATTTTCATAATTTAATTCATATTAATTTTTTATATGTAATTCTCTTTTTGCTATTATTTTATTCAAATACACAAATGATTAAATTATGAATTAAAAAATAAATCCTTACAATAATAGCACTTGAAATATTCAACGTAAAAAATATGATTGCTTAACTAATTTTTAATGTTAGTTGAAATAAAAATTTACAAATTTGTATTTTATTCATTTTTAAACTGTTTTATATCAATTCAACATAAGATTAACTATTCTATAATTGTGCTTCCTATTATATAGAATTAAAGAACTTAATAATAAGATTATATCTTAAACAACTCAAAAAATACATAATATATTTATATACTTTTTAAAATTGTTTCATAAAATTAACTACTCTCATATAGAACATTATATTTTATGACAAAAATGTCATTGTAACATTTTTCAATACAATTTACCAAAGATAACTTAGATCGATAGAGATTAATCCCTTTCTTATACAAACAAGTTCCAGTAATCAAATAGTACAGATTGAATGTAAAGAAGATATATCTAAGTAATTACAAAAAATCTTAATAAACAGCTGCAAAATCAGTATATTATGAGTATATGATCAATATTAAGAAATCATTATATTAGAATGTAAAAAATATCAGATTTTAATATTTAGCCACTAGTATTTGATGTTAACAAGTGAATAATATATTTATGCAATAAATTCTTATAAATCAAATACCGTTTCAGTAAGAAATATACTCAATAATAAAATAGTTAAATTGAAAAATACTATAACATTTTTACTTGTTAAAAAATTAGTACTTACATCAATTATTATTATAGACCATAACTGTAATAAGCTCTATATAATATTATTATTATAGGTGAAATTGCTTGCTGAAAGTACTTGCTACATTAATTCTTATTGAAATGTTATGGGCATTAAAATGAAATAATGCAAAGATTTAATATATTTACGAGTAAATCTGGTTATTGTTTTCATGAATATTTACTCTATTATCTTATTAAATGGTTTTCTACTGATAAGAAATAAATTAAGATGTCTGAATCATTATATATTAATATTACTTTCAGAATATTATTATTTTAATTTTATTCAAATCATTTCAATCATTTAAATATCTACAATTATAGTATATTTCACTTCCTTTCTACAACTGGATATCCTTGCAATTACTAATACATTATTTAAATATGTTATTTAAAGTTTTTAATTGCTTTAAGACTTTTATATTATTCATAATATATTATATATTATTCATATAAATTATAAAATTAATATTTAAAATAATAGTTAATATAAAAGTAAATATATCATATTCTACTAATGATAAATAAAGAAATATATACTTATAATAGTACAGCTCAATATTTTAAAAAGTAAAATAATTAAAAACTACAATGTTATAGTCATTTTAATACTGAATAGTGAATGAAGAGTAATTAATATAAAAATTGTAAAACAATAACACTTTAAATGAATTTGTTCGGGATTGCGAGAACCTTTCCACGTTGTTAAACATGTGGCAAATCCAAACATTATTAGACAGTCTTAAGACTTCTGAAACCTACTGCTAATAAAACATCTGACAACGATGTCATAAAACATTTGATAATGATGTTATAAAACACCTGGAAAATCCAGAACATTAGGCATCTTGAGCCAGTCGCTACACCCAAACGTTAAGACATACCGGCATGCACTCACCCCGCCCCCTTTTTGTCAAATCTGCCATGTGGCTGCCAGAGTCGTTAATGGCAATGAAATCAGGAGCTCCTCTTGGCTCGGAGCTAAGAAAAAACTGAGCTTCTTGATTGAACGCTATGCCGCTAGAGACACTGCTCTTGCCCGTGATTCGATAAGCTTTCCGATTGGATACAAGGAAAGGGAAGAGATCCCAAGTCACCATGGTCAGTGAACTATTTAAGAGGGACTACTATAAGATTCAAACACTCACGTTGAAGTCCTCAAGGAGAAAGGGAAAGAAAAATGATCTCAACTGAGTCCGAAGACAAGTCTTCGTTAGTAATCTTCTCAATTGAAGGTGCTTCGCCACCAGCTCCCACACGGTCTCTCCAGTAGCCAGGTTACTGAGCATACTTCAAAGCTCAAGGCCAATTCAAAGGTATACGCAACATTATCCTACTAATTTCACAGCCTGTGCCCAAGGAGATTTTCCCTTGTGCCGAACACGCAAGAAGCCAAAATCGCGCCATTCAGCGTCATACCGTGTCGATTCTAACCTCTAATTACAGCTCGTGCCAAAGCGCACGAGACATCAAAAGGGCAAGGACTAGAGCTCGTGCTCATGTTCACGACATAAACCAAGGCAAGTTAATTCTGCGTGCCATTCAGCGCACAGTCCACTACTGCAGACTTAATCGAGAATCGCTATCGTGATCCAATCTCACGAAGCAGTAGTAGAATCACCACGCGGTTCTACTTGTAGAGTGGTAAGAGCCTTACAACCTCTCTTTTCTCAGAGTAACCTACCATCAAGGGCACCGCGTCACGAGAATCAGGGAACTTACAACCTCCTACCTCCGAACGAAGTGCAAACTACCGCCATGTGTTGACCGCCACGGAGGTACAAGAGTTCATTTATGGACTTCGTCAACAAGAATCATTCATGTATTTAAAAAATAAACGGAATAAACAGCACAAAAAACAGAAATATTGAATTAAATATTGTTAAATATTGAATTAATACGTTATCCCTTCCACTTGTCCATACATTTTTCTCACATAACATCTCATGGTCTTTTAGTTAATTCTAAACAGAATTCTATTATATTAGTTTACATAATTTTTTTATATAAAATATTTTAAATCTTTATAAATATGATGTAAATATTTTATAAAATTAGTCTATTGTTTGTAATATTAAGACTTGAAATAAAAAATTAAATATTAAATAAAAAATTTAATATTAAATTGTTTTATATACACCGAGAAGTTAAAAATGAAAACTAACCTCCAGGTAAATTTCTGAGTGCGGATTAAAAGTATTGTTAACAATGTGTATAGATACATTGAAGTGCGGAAATTTATGAAATATTCTCGCAAGTTGTGGTACTGTGTATTGCTCCGGAAATTGCTGACCGCCTGCCATTGTGTTGGCCTTTTAATGCCTCCGAGAATCTACCGGTGAAAAAGAACTCCTTACTTGTCAAGACATGCTATATCATCTGCAATAACAAACAGACAATAATATATTAAGTTTTTTAATAACTAATTCCTAACAAATTAATGAAGATGTTCTTGTACCTTGTCGGTTTCCATAATTTATTGATTTTTCAAATCCAATATATTTTCATTAGATTTTCTAATTTATTTAAAGATAAGTTTTACAAATATATTAAAAATATTACAATTATATGTCATCTAATTTTTTGTGTATTTTACTTTAAATTTTGCCATAATCACATGACTTTTCTAGAAGATAATATTGACTGAAATTTTCATTAGGTACATTGCTATCAATTTGATTAGTATACATATGTCAGGAATTGTTAAATTGTTTTATTTATTTATTAAATATATATTATTAGTTATATGAATAAATGGATGATGAAATAAATAAATGAAAAATCAAATTTACATACTACGAATTTTCCAGCTGCGTATAACAAATATTTATAACAGGTGTTTAATGGGTATATTACTTATTTATATCAGTTATAAAAGGCATTCATCACACAATGATTATTCTCAATATGTTTTTTGTCTACTAATATATACTTCCCCTTTTCTATGCTTTAAATCAATTGTATAATTTTTAGAATATATAATTTTTTAAATAATGCTCACAAAAAGACAAAATTTAATTGATACAATTTTTTATGAATATAATTAATTTAATGTTACACAGAAAAAGCAAAGGGTAATAAACGAAAAATTTTTAATTTTTTTATCATCTTAGTATAAGTGCTTTATAACATTTAAATTAAATAATTTCTGAAAATTTACAAATTATTATTAAATTGAATTATTTAAATTATTTAAAATTAAGAATGTTTAGAATGTATTTATATCAAGATTATTTTAATAATTTAAAATAATTTTTATTAAAAACTATAATATTAATTCAAAATTGTAACATTTTTATTCATTTTCTTTAAATCAAATATATATATCAAGACCATTTAACCATCAAAACCAAATTACATTTCATTACGTTTGTAATATAATTTTATGTTTAAAGTTAAACATTAAATAAATAATATATTAATTTAAATACTAAGTTAGCGAATATTAAAAATAAATTTTTATCTATGATAAAAATGATCACTTTATTTATTGTAATAATCCATAATGTATTTTAAAGGTAAATGAAATTCAAATAAATCTTAATAATAAAATCAAATGCTTATATAGGCAATAATTATAATTTAATAGGAAATTAATATTAAAATTCTGAATTGTAAAATATAAAAATATGTGTATCAGAAAATAGTATAACTTGTAAAATATAAAATCAATTGAATTTAATACATATTACTACTAATAATATATTTTTTAAGAATAATCCTTAATAATGTTATTATAAAAAATGTGATAATTGTAAAATATAAAAATCAATTAAGTTTGTATATCTATAAATAAGCATATTGTATTTTTTTCTATGAAAAAATATGTAATTCAGTAACAAAATAATGTTTAAATACTTAATAGCATGCAGCAATTATACAAACTTTTTAAAATATTTATATTTATTAAAGGATTTTTTCAAGAATTATTAATTCAGTCTTAATATAAATCATGTAATAATTTATATTTCGTATATGTCAAATATAAATTGAATTATACTATATAAAAATTTAAGTAATATCTATTTTATATTTCAAACCTTATCTTAATTTTCGTTATACATTGCAATAAAAACATTAATATCATAAATTACGAATAAAATTATAAATATCGTTAATAAAAATAGATCCGGATTATTATCGTTTTATATTCATAACTCTCTAAGATAAAAATACATTCTACCACCGAATATATAAAATTATTTAAAGGAAAGTAGTTCTACAAAGAGAAAAGATAAAAAGTTTTGTCATTTACTCTTCATCTTTCTTCCTCCTTTTGTAGCTTTATTATACATCACAAACAAATTCACTATCACTTCAAATCAGATAAGCTAAATATATATACAAAATCAATTAAAACTTTACTTCATATAAATATATATATATACTCTATGATATATAACATATACTTAATGACGAACATATGTTATGACATAATATATTTTATATGCATTAACATGATAATTTTATAAATGAATATTTTAGCTGAAATCAAACTGCCTATTAAAATATAATTATATAACATTGACTTTATTTTAAATTTAATTAAATTGTACATTCCAATTTATAAGAACATATAATAATAGCGATAAAATTCGGTATAACATCGTATCACAACTTATTTGATTATATATTTGATCAAACTACCTATTAAAATATAATTATATAACATTGACTTTATTTTAAATTTAATTAAATTGTACGTTCCAATTTATAAGAACATATAATAATAGTGATAAAATTCGGTATAACATCGTATCACAACTTATTCGATTATAAAAAATAATTTTATTTATTATCTTCTCAATTCCATACTAATTAGAAAATCATAAATTTTATTATAAAAAAAAAAAAAAAATAGAAGATGTAAGATTTCAAGTTTATAATTTAAATTTGGAAAAGAAGATTAAATCTTTATTATAGTGTTAATATTATAAAAGAATAACATTTATATAATTACCGATTTTTCTATTTTTTATATAAATATTTTGTCGTTTTCATTTTTATGTATTTAACTATATTAGAAATATTTAAAATTATCTTTGATATATATATATATATACATATCGTAAGAAATACTATTAACATTTGTAAAAAAGTTGGAATACTTTTCACTTTAAAATTCATTTAAAATCCGCACAAATATAATGTCCTTGACTTTGAAAAACAAACTTTAATTATATAAATATTTACTATATTACTTTATAACAATATTTTACTTTAAAGAATTATATAGTATTTTTTTTTTAATTTTATAATATAAGTATAAATATTTTTCATTTTATAAATAATATTACTAATAGTCTTTTATCTTTTTATTATAGAAAAAGTTTACTATATTTACTATATTTTCTTGTAACTTTAATATTACAGTTAAATCAATTTTACTAGAAAAATTAAATTTTAATACAAAATTTAACTGTATTGGATAAGCTTACTAATACAATAAAACAAAAACTTATTTTAAAATAAATGCCTTATTTTACAATATAAATTATAATGATTTCCTTATATGTTATGTAAAATATTGCGATAATACTGAATCTTTGTTAAATTAAATTATTTAACACTCAATTTTAAACGGTTTATGACGAGTACATTTAATAAAATAAATCAACTAGAGAATATTCATTATAATACATGAACTTTAAATTTTGACAACATTTTCTCATTCCATATATTAACACAACCAACGAGAATGTGCATATGAAATATATAAAATAAAAAATTGCAAAGTATATTTTTCAAAAGTATTTATTTTGGGACAATTCCTATAAAAGAATCACATATGTATCACTAATTCTGAATTTTCAGTGTTGTATAGATAATTGTTACAAAGTTTTATTTTGTAATTTTAATAGGATGATATTTTGGTGGAAAAAGAATGATTATGATAAATTTTATATTTTAATTTTAATCGATAGTTGTTCGAAATTGAGTGTTTGTTTTGTGGCTCGAACTGCCAATTAAATAGCTCAGTAGATTAGTCTCTCGCCGTAGCGATTAGGAGGAAAAGGCACACGTGGAAGCACTGAAAATATTATGTAATATGTATTTTGAATGAAAATATTGTTTTATTCTAGTTTATGAATTATTATAATATCGCAGTTTTGTTGGTTGCTTCAAGTAAGAGAGAGAAAAGTATTCTATTGCAGTGAAGAGGGTGCGCTCTTGTGTCCTTGGTTGTCGTTGATGCTATGGAAATTACTGTGTATGTTAAGTATTAAATATATGCTGATGTTGTAAAGATCAGCATGAGTAGTCGACGATGCTCATCAATGAGCATGGGAAGCTGGTAATAGTAATCAGTAGTGCTTAGTAGGGAGAGTAAGCATACTTAAAAGGGGAAAATACTGTAGTCTCTGTGGTAGTGGTTACATAAATCGACCATACTCCAAAGGGAGTATGGGAGTATTGGAGAGTTAGTCACACGCAAGAACAATAAATGATAAACAGGTTCTTCGAGGACGGAAGGACTTAATAATAGGTAGTTATAGTCGACTATTTGAGAAACGATAGTCTGCACTTGATTGTGTAATTAAACGGATTAGCTGGGTGAAAGAACGTTCTTCGGCCTGGTTGGTTTGAGAGAGCGTGTTGTTCCACCTTGCGTGGCAGACTTTATGTGATACGTAATTCGAGCGTAGATGACTAACTTGTACAAATAATAAAGAGGATGTACCTTATAAACTACCGTCAGGGTATGCTGTTTGGCTGCGTGTCTGGCACACTTTATTGATTACAATTCCAATGGCGTCACTGTTAAGGTACTAACTTGTTATTGCAGATTCTGTTAATAATGCACGCATATGTTGTAGGTCAGTTGCCAGGCTTGCGGCTAAGTTCCGTAATCGTAATTGATAACTGATACTAGATAGATGAATGTAAACTAATTAATAATAACAGTTGTTGGTTGAATGTTAGATAAAAATACAGTGAGCGTCGGTGCGTGGTGTGCTGATCTTTAATATTCGCGTAGTAGCTTGCGACGCCGGCAACAGCGCCGATGCCTGTTGCTATGCCGAAAATTGTCGTGACGTCAGAGAACGAAACTCTGGAATATTCTAGAAGTTTCATCGCCGTTGCTATGCGGAAATATTCTTGAATATTCGGATTTAAGGTGTAGGAAAATTCCCGAATTTGTTGAGTCGTGTTTACAAACAAAAGTGTATGAGAGCTTGTAAATTTTCCAATTTTAAATTCTGCTTAAACTGCTACAATCCCGAACAATAGTTAATATGAAAAAATATTCAAGGATGAATAAAATATGCTTCTAAATCTTCAATACTTAATTAATTACAGTACTATATAGAATTCAAAATTATATACTGCAAAAATTAAAAATTAATATCAATACATATCTCTATTTTTTAAAGCAT